CATCAAATATCAACATACCTTGCCTTGCAAATTTATTTTTTTCTTGTATTTTCATCTTAAATGCTTGGAAAAATTCTTCGTCAAGTCCACATTTGAGTCTTACTCGCGACAAATATGTACGCACCGTTGACACAACGGGAAGAGGTACGATTTCATTTTTTCTTAAAAAAGCGTACGATTTTGGGCTTTTAATATGAAGAAGTAAACACATAAGTAACCAACTAGAAGAATAACGCCTAGACGTTTTCTTTTTGTACCTAGCCATCTTAATGCATTCCATCAGTAACATTTTTTGAGCGGAAGGTAAATTTTCCATCTGATCAATTTTTTTCTGCACTTCTTCTTCATTCAGGGTTTTCATTTTCGCTTTAGCTTCTTGTAACTCCTTCCTTGCTTGAATTAGTCTATAATGCAGTCTTCGTTCACGTTTACGACAGTTGGCTGAATTTTTCAAAAAGCGGTCTCGTCTCGACATGGTGACCTTTGTGACTTTTTTTTTTAAATAAGCGATTGCTTTTTTGGCATTTTTACACAAACAACAGTAGTTCACTCCTTTGAGTAAACGTTCATCGGTAGTATTCAACAGGTAACTACAATTTCCATGTCTCACGCTTTTAGAAAATTCATCTTTGTGATATCGTGTCCTGCTGAAGTCTATGCTATCTCCGATTATTATTATTAATCCGTAACATATAGGGAGTAGATCAAAATCAATCAACATTTTTTCAAAATCAGCAATCGAATTAATCTTACTATTTGAATCTTCAGTTAAACGGACATGCAAATGTTGAAAAATGAAGAAGTTTATAAAAGATTTACACAGCACAATTTTCTTTGAAATTACGATATCATTTTCTACAACATCTGTTTTAAAAAGTGCTATAATGTCTTTATGGAATTGTAAGGTCCACGACGCAGACGGCAAGGTAACGTTATTCTTCGACAAACTATCGAATATTGTGACTAACCAAGATTTATTATATTCTGAGTTATTGCCTTCGTATATCTTTTCAACTAAAAGGAAATTAGAAATCAGTGGAATAACTTAGGCAATGCAATTTAAGTTTTTAACATTCCCACAAATGATTAAAAGACCCATCAAAAAAGAAAAAATTGGCGAAAGCTTAACTTTGGACAGGGATTTTAAGTGCATTTTCAGTCATGTTTATATAAATATCAGACAAACGGGCATACGGACAGACATACGGGCTCCGTACTGCTCAATAACTCGCCGAGACCTATCTAACGGCACCTCAACCAAGCCTCTAGCACTTACCGTTCCGGAGATATAAAATATCGGACAGACAGACAGACAGACAGAGAGACAGGCAGACAGACATTCCGAGCCTAATAGTGCATTTCAGTTTTTTCTGAAAATGCACTAAAAACAGAACTCTGTTTCTGGGCAAGAATTTGACAAATACCTACCTTCATTGGCACCTAATTCATTATTTTTTTTACGTTTCAGGTCATATGTACATTCGCCTCGTTCGATTACCCTCCTTTTCTTTACCGGCTTTTTCGACAAATAGGTTGGACAATTAGGCCAAATAGATGGTACTGCATTTTCTCTCAAGCGCGGGATTTTCAGTGCATACTAAACAGAACAAAAATAACATTCCTACAGTAGGTAATTCATGGCGACCTGCGGAACTGGTATTTACTTCCTGAATTTAAAAAACTTACTGAATATGTTTCTGTGACGACTTCACGTATGACATCGTCTTTAAAAAAAGGTTTTTCGCACAAAGCGTCATTAATCGTTAATTTTTTATCCGCTCGGGGAATACGTTGACTCCACTCTTCTAATTTGTTTTTAGGCACTTTAAATAAGGATACTTTCTCTGAACTTCCGCTATATCCACTGTGACATCCAGGTGCAAAACAATACCTTCGTGCCATTGTAAAAAGTTGCAAAAAAAGCCCATACACAAGTTTAAGGAAGTGCGACCGTATATCACTGGCGCAATGCAGTATAAATGCACAAGTGATTTCGCGCCAAGCTAGTTGTCTGTCTCTGTCGCTGCCTCTCCCTCGCACACAGACCACACTCAATCGCCGTTTGTTTGCACCGAAAACATAGCTCGCCGGATCACCTCTCTATATTATACATCCGTGGTACTCGCTAAATATTGCGCTTACGTTAAGACTGCATTTCTTCTATGGTTTCTCTGTTGAGCAAAGCTTTGGATGTACTGTGGAGAATAGGGGAAGGTACTAACGCGACGGTTTTACTTTTGGCACCGCTGTACGCGCAATCTGTGGAAAATAACCGAGCATTCTCACTTTGCCTGAAAGTTTAGGCATTTTGCGAAATCCCTAAAGAGAGGCAGGAGAAGTGCGAACTCGAGTTCTATTTATCACTTTGCCTGCTGCAATGGCCATTTCGCAAAATGCCTAGTGATTTTGCAAAATGCCGGGTTTCGCAGTTTGCCGGTAACATATATAAATAATAGTAATTATTATTATTATTACCATGAAACAATTTACAAAAAATATGGTAAGTAAATCCTTTTTACATTTTTGAAAGTTTATAGTAATGTACCTACATACCAAAAATAAATAAATTAACTCCAATAACATAATATAAAGTTTATGTTCATTTACCAAAGAGGCGCTTTGGATACATTCAAGCTCGCATTCAATATTTATCGGGCGGACTGTTAGCACAGATTCTTGATAAGGGTGTTGTGAGAAGGTAAGAAGAGCATGAGACCGGCGGCGGTCTAAAAAGATATTTCAAAATAAATGGCACATTATTATGACCACTTTTTTCTGTCTACAAGATGCTACTTTTAAATTTTAAGTCTGACGTTTCGTCTGCGGTTAACCATCATTAACTTTGATTTTAGGCTATCATCACAAAAACGTTGATTTTGTGGTCGCTTTTGCGGCCATAAAGTTTCACTTTATTGTGCGCTTCTGTCAAACTTTATTGTACACATTTGTCAAACTATACTTATTTGAAACTGATGTGTGAGAAACAGTAATCTGTTTGATACAAAGCGTCTATCTGGTCTAGCCCTATCAAGAAATGGGCCATCCACGTGCGGTTTTTTTTCATTTTCGGACTTGTAGGAATGTTTCACACTATTTTGCATAATCACAATGTTCACATTTAAAATAATAGTTTGACGTTTCAATCTTTGCTGCTTGCAGACCTTTTTGAAGTGTAGAACCAAAACATGAGGAAGATGTTATTGCTTAGGTATATTATTATACGAAGAATCGCCAGCAATTAACCGAGAACACAAGTAGCTACATATACCTACCATCAAAGTATGGTAATCAGGTTTCTAATAATTGTACAGCATGATTGTTAACTATAAGGTCTTGGAAGCCACAGTTACGAAGGACCTATTGCATTTGACATTATTTATTAAAATCTTGTGCAACGGAGGAAGTTGCGATTGTACTTTTACTCTCAAAAACGCCTGCTCTTATATCATATATGACTTAAGGTCGCAACGCTTGCAGCTTCCAAAATTTCATTTGGGGTATTTGAACTGTCGCTATCACCTATTTTGATACGCACAAAACACACGCAAAGATGCTAATTATAATTTATTACATACGACAGGAAATGCTTTGTTTTTAATTATCTAAGATAACTATAATTTTCAGAAAAAATATCTTTATCAGCAAATTTTTGAATTCTTTTTGATGATCGCCTAAAAAATGTTGTGTGCACCTTGGCCAAAAGTGATTTGTTAGGCCTCATCTGAATTGCGGCCTCGGCTACCGCCTCGGCCACAAACAGCAGCTTCGGCCAAAAAATATCACAATACGGCCTTGGTACACAAATAACTATTTTTCTTATGGTAGTAATTTTTACTTTTTATGTCATTTGATAGATCCAGGGTAGAAAGTTACACCATTTTCAGCGTCGGGTTTGGTTGGGAGGGGGGAAGGAAAGTTGGATAATTAGGAATTTTAATTAGTTGTTCTTAAATATTCAGCAAAATATGTGGTTTAGTGCGAAAAGTGTCGTATACAACAATAATCTATAGTAAATTGCGAACAAATGGCCTTGTATATAATTTTGCTAAATTGAACCGTTCCAGAGTTACGGAGGGTGTAACAGTAGATATTTTTCATCTTTCTTTTTAGATTCTTTTAGAAAAAATATGAGATTATCACTAAGGAAACTAATTTTTTTGTTAAAACAAATTGCTCTTTAGTGACCGGTGGTATATTAACTGATATGTCCTTGAAGGAACGATAACTTTACCACCTTCTTAAGGGGAACCATTTTTTAAAGAGACCATGAGGGACAGTAATCCCTGGGGAAGTTGCAGGATGTGTTGTTATTGCTCTCAGGTGTTCGACAATCTTCCATCCCCACTTCAGCGGGTTCTTCTTCTCATGCAGCTACTGCTACACCTGATGGTAGGTTCTAAATGAATGTTCTGCCTGGTAGCTGCTGAAGTGGGGAGAAGCGCATCCAACTAGAACAGTGAATGTATAGGATGCTTTGAAATAGCCTGCAAAGTAATCCTGGTAACTAAAACAAGCCAGATCTTCAGTGTTCTTTACTTCCAACATAATTTCATTTTTCCAGAAAATCGAACAAATACGAATAATGTCTACTTTTACACCCTCCATAACTCTGGAATCGTTCACTTGAGCAAGATTATACACAAGACCATTTTTGTTCGCAATTTAATGTACCTAGATTATTTTTGGATATCGTACTTTTCTCGCCAAACTCCATAGTTTTATAAATATTTAAGAAAAACTCCAAAAACTACTAATTTACCAACTTTCCTCCCCCCTGCCATTCAAACCCTACGCTTAAAATGGTGTAACTTTTTACCAAACAATATGTAGACTGTATAGAACAATTTGCAGTTGATGGGAAACTTTTACTTTGGATGTTGAGGTTAAGCCGTTTTTTCGACTAATTGCACTGTACTATTAGTAAGATACACTGGCACAGTTTAAAAAAACGTTTGCTATTGTAAAACGCCAGAGCTAAAGCACTGTTTAATATATTTCAGATGCTCCCAAATATTTAGGAAGAGTTGGAAGTCTCAAGCAGTTCTACCCCTCTTGTTGTTGACCAACGTTGGATTATTATTGGTAGACCATATTCATTTCCAATATAATGGGATTATGTTTGGATTTTTGCTATTATCGTGCGCCAATTTATTTCAGGTAAGTTTGTATAGTACCATTGGATTCATGAAAATGGTATAGCTTTTGATTTCACACCTCCCTTTTAAGCGGTAGACATAAATCTCTATATATATATCATACAATTGCACGGTTGTTCGGGAAATAATTCCTTATTTTCTTCGAGTAATTTAAAACTTTAACCGCATTATTAGTACCTCTGTGAAATGTAATACCACAGCCAGTAATGGCATGTAAAAAAAATCCGATACAACTGAATACCGAACGATCCTTGAGATCTCCGCACATACATAATTTTTACAACACACCTTAAGGGATTGATTCTGTTCCACCAGCTCAGCATACCTTGTAAAACAAAGTTTTGAATCGGCATTAGTTTTACTTTTATTTGAGGTGCCTACATAAAGGATTTCATTTAAATATCTTTACGAATAAAAAATTTGAAATTGCGTATGCGCAAAACAAATTTTTTGATTCGGCATTAGTTTTACTTTATTCGAGGTGCTTACATACAAAATGTCATGCAATAGGTTCATACCTAACGAAGATGAGGCCGGGACATTTCGCCGAATGCCCACAACGCCGACACGATTTTTTGAAGGTCCATATCGCCGACTAGGGACACAACGCCGACCGTGCCCACATCGCCGACAAGTGAACAAGGGACACTAAGCCGAACGTGACCATAACGTCGACTCATACAACACTTCTTAATCAAGCTGGACGGTGTGCAACACCAAGTAGCTTTTGACGTTAGGTTATTGTAGGTTCAGAATATTTTTTTTAACTTTTTTCGAACTACAGACTCATACGAAAATTCTTAATCAAACTGGACGGAGTGTGAAGCAAAGCAGCTTTGGATATTAGGTTATTTGTAGGTTTAGGACATGTTTTTTAAACTTTTTAAAATGCAAACTCATACACTGGACAGAGTATGAGGGGCCTGGATTTTCGAACAGTCGGCGTTGTGGTCACGTTCGGCTTAGTGTCCCTTGCACACGTTTCGGCAATGTGGGCACGATTGGCGTAGTGTCCGTCGGCGAAGTGGGCATGGTCGGCGTTGTGTCCCTTGCACACTTGTCGACGATGTGGGCACGGTCGGCATAGTGTCCGTCGGTGTAGTGTCCCTAGTCGGCGATATGGACCTTCAAAAAATCGTGTCGGCGTTGTGGGCATTCGGCGAAGTGTCCTAGACCCACGAAGATGTCAAAAAATCGGATTGCGCATGCACAAACCAAATTTTAGTTTTATTTGAGGTGCCTACGTACAAAATTTCATTTAAATATCTTAACGGATACAAAAATTGCGATTGCGCAGATACAAAAGTTGGGTTGCGCATGCGCAATTTTTATTAAATCTGCATAGTTACCTGGGGTACGTTCGAAAATTGCAACGTTGTAGTGGTTTATTTAACCTTACATTTTCGAACGTTTTGTTTTGAGTTCATTTGTTATGGTGAAGCGAATGTAAATTTAAATTGTCTTTTTTGTTAATTTTAGGCCAATTACCTGAGCGGAGCATTCTGGTTTCTTGTTTTGTTAAACTTTAAACACATCTACCTATACATTGCTCCTGCTTACTTCATCTACCTCCTAAGAAATTATTGTATCACTTCGAGAAATTTAAGCATAAAAAATGTGATAACAGGGTTTTCTGTACGAAACACAATCTACCTCGGATCAACTGTAATACTAGTATTTGCAGTTACCTTTGTACCTTTCGTCGGTCATATAAATCAGGTAATATGTAGTGTATGTTAAGCAATTGTATTGCTGAGTATTTAATAATTTTAGGTAATGAGCAGATTGTTTCCATTCAAAAGGGGCTTATGTCACGCATATTGGGCACCAAATTTTTGGGCAATTTACAATGTCGCTGATAAAGTGCTGTTTATGTTAGGTAAGATCATAGGTACAGCTAAGAATAAATTATAAATAATAATAATAATGGATGCTGTGTTATTTTTATCTAGGTAGTAATATTATGATCCAAAGGCGGCGTCACCCGACTCTTGGTAAAGGGAAATTAACCATCTTGTGAAGGTAAATTCACTCAGTGGTTCAAGTTAAATCATCCCTTTGTGGTCTTGTATAATAAACTATTGGTCGTGTGTTTGTGTTGTCTTTTTTATTCCTATTCTTAATTCTGAATTAGGATCCCAAAAGAATTTATGTATAAGTCCAGCTATGGCCTCAATTTTGAGGTTTTTTAGACTAATTGTTTAATTTGAAAAATATTCCACATGGCAGATATAAGTTCACCCTCGATTTATACTGTATGCAACACCTTTCAATGAAAAGAAATCCGCCATCATCTGAAGAAAATAAGAGTTCCCAATATCCCAGTTCAAAATGGAAATTAAATACTTTTTTTTAGTATGAGTGACTAAATTATTTTTGAACATGATCCATCGTTCCTCTAAATGGGGTTGAGTGATATCAAAGATTAAGAAAATCGGATCTCAAAGCCTTCCCCATACATTTATTGTGTTGTACTATTAAAACACGACTATAGTTACGGGTGAAGTTAATTATTATTGATGGAAGAAATGGAAGACAGGTTGAAAATGAAAAGAATAGAAGGTGCTGAAGTTACATTTTTGAAAATTTTGACGCATTGAAGATTGGAAAGTGTTGAAACTTAAATTTTATGGCACAGACAAATATTGAAATGCACCTTTTAAGGGCTCTAAAACCGAAGAGGGTGGCCCAATTAAAGACAACCATTCGGACGTTTTAAAGTTGAAAACTGAAAATATAACACATATTGGGAAGGGGTTAAGAATTAATAAATTAAATTCCAGAACAAGCAGACGGTGTGTCTGGACCGTTGACAGTAAAATCGTTTTACGGTCAACGGTCCAGACACTCCACTGTATACAATTGAGGGCACTTTACAAGATCTAATTCTATAAACATTAATAGTGGAATGTGTATTTAAAAACCATTTTAAAATAGTTCCTTTTTCAACAGGTAAGAAAATCGGGCTGGCTGTGTCTGAAGAAGTTGCTGCAATGACTGGAGGACTAGTTCAGGAATTTTCTCATGCCGTTTTGCCCAGTATCACTCCACTTGCAACAATGTTAATTACCATTGTCTTTATGTTACCTGCACTGATGAAATTGTGGTTTGCCGGAAATAATCCTGTTCAGTTTGTGAGGTGCATAATTTTATGCGCTTTGACTTCCTTCATGTTTGGATGGCACGTCCATGAGAAAGCGATACTGATGGCTATCATTCCTTTCAGGTGAGATAACTAGCTTATGTTTTGCAGTTTCGCACTTATTGTTTATTTCCTAATTTGTTTTGTTTGTATATTTTCAGCATCATCAGTATAATGGAGTCAGGTGATGCAAAAGTGTTTCTTATTTTATCAACAGTCGGTCAGTATTCTTTGTTACCCTTGTTATTTCCACAAGCGTTGTTATTAATTAAGTTAATTTTATATGTACTTTACTGTTCCTATGCGTTTTATAGTATGTCTAATTTATACCCGTTTTATGTATGCAAATTTAATTTACCATTACTAAATATGCTAGAAAGTATGTACATATTTGGTCTAATTCCTCTTTTTTTATATGATCACTTTCTTCATTATAGTATAACTTTAAGAACTTATCCTTTTTTGCCTTTATTACTAACTTCTGTTTATTGTTCAATTGGTATAGTATACTCTTGGTTAAAATATTACATATATTTTTTAACAAAATGTGATGCAAAGCATAAGATTTAACATAGATACTTACTACCTGTTTACCCCATCTGCATCTTATAATTTGATGTAACTACCTGTGATTTGTGAAGTTGTAATTGTATGTAGCCATTTTCGACAAGAATAGAACTTTGGGTGGAGTAATTGGCAATAATTCTTGTTTTTGGATTTTGTTTTAATCCTTATTTGTATGTAGGTACCTATTTGTAAATACGAGATATTTTTTTATAATTATTGTTCATATGAAACTCGTAAGTAAAGAGAGTTTCATGTCTAAATATTTAATAATTTTACAAATATTCCATTAAGAATTCCATCATGGAATTCTTAGTGGAATGATAATCACATAATGCATAGTTTATGAATGTTTTATAAATTTACTTTAATTGGTACAGTACAGTCTGCATTTAATTTTGTTTATCAATCAATCAATCAAATTTTATTAACGCCAAATGGCAAAAACTTTTTACAATAATTTAAATACAAAACCAAATCTAAAATTTATGTATTTTTTTTTTCGTTTTTCCTAAAATCATTCTCATCCATTTCTATCCTCTTCCAGCACTTGACTCATGAGTTCGCTTTCTCTTTTCACCTTGTAAGCATTGATCATACGCAGTGTATTCAATGCTTATAATGTTCTTAGGATCCTCCACCTGGCACTGTAATTTTCACACCCTATATAGTCCGGGAAATGGACCATTTCCTGCAAAACGAGAAGTAGTTCCAATTTTTTTAAATATCATGAAAGAATATCTGGTGGTTAAGAATCCAAGTGTTTGACCTCCTACCCCTTGTGCTTCCCCCGTACCACCCTTAAAACCAAAGAAATTTGGTTGGTTTTTTAGTTTGTCAATCATATCTTTTTATAGGTTTACTTTACCAAAAATACTGTTATCACAAATTGTAGACTATAAAATTCTACACAACTTTGATATAAACTACTTTTTTGTGAAATTTTATTAAAAACGATATAGAGCTTCAGAGTTGCTTATACAGCGTGTTTCAAAATGAATAGAGGGGTTTTAACATGTTATAATATTTAATACATCAAACTTACAGCCACAATTGTTATATCAAATGAAAGAGAAACTCAAACAGTTTTACATTATAGCCTACAAGTGTTCAATGTGAGCACCATTCGTCACTTGGCATACGTCAAGACGGTATGCTAGTTCTTCCCAAACTTCTGATTTTCTGAGCCCCAAATCCTAACATTATGGGTGTTAAGTCGACCACTAAAGGTGAAAGGTCGATTCATCACTGAAGACGACAAGATCCAGAAAATCTTCATTGTCATGCAACAACATGTCGTTAGCGAAGTTGGCACGTAAAAGATGGTCGGTAGGCTTCAGAGCCTGTAACAACTGCAAACGATAAGGACGTAGCTCTAAGCGTCGCCGTAAAACTCTCCAAACAGTCGTCACAGGAATTGCTAATTCACGACTAGCCTTCCGAACGGATTTCATAGGGCTACGCGTCAACGAATTACGCACTTGCTCAACGCTCTCTTCACTAGTTCGTGGTCGTCCCGTACTCTTGCCTTTACAAAGGCAGCCAGTGTCTTGAAACTGATGATACCATCTGCGAATGTTGTTATCACCTGGAGGAGCACAACCGAACTTAATCCGGAACGCACGTTGCACAGTAACAACAGATTCCGTCTTTGCAAACTGTAAAACACAATAGTATATTATATACCGCGGGACTGAAGTGGTACGGATTCGTTTATATAATTCGAGGTAAATCTTTCACTCGCGCCTTTGACGCTCCCGACGAAGGCGACGACGGGCGACTTCAGCGCCCCCCAGACTTGGCGTCCAGGGCCTGGGCCCCCCTCGCCCCTCCCCCTCGCACGGCCTTGCCTACCTATATGTATCTGTGATAATACCATCACAAATTTTTTTGATTAGGGGAGGGAGCACTTAACGAACTTTATTTTATGTCAATGTGTAGGGTCAACTTAGTCCAGTCAAATTAGCTCCAAAAGTATTCTGAACTGGATGTTGGCATTTCACACAACGAAACCAAGTGTATTCTATTTAGTTCACTGCCCGGAAGCTCCCGGAACATATTGCTATACACAAAAAAAAACAAGAAAAAATGGAAAAATGCAGTTTTTTTCGCATTTGACTTCCAATTATCTCGTCAACTATTGCTCGAGCTCATAGAAATGAATTTGTTTAGAATCCAATTTTCAGTTGGTACCAGGGCTCGGAAAGGACCGGAACGAGCCGGAACGCTGTTCCGGTTGGTAAAAAGTATTACAATATCGTTCCGTTTCGTCGAAAATATTTGTACACTGTTCCTTTTCGTAAAGGGACCGCAGCGTCAGATCCTCTCCACCCGCACACAAAGAAATTTTATAGAACCCTACATATTGTTGGATTATTTGTCATTAATACGATAAAAATCACATGAAAACGAAAATACGTCCTTCAGATCATACCAGCACACGAAACCCATTATAGTATCCACTGGTCTCCACACCAAAGGAAACAATAAAAATGAAACATTTAATTTTTGTTACGCCCCCGGTACTTTCATTTACAAAAGGACTTATTGATCTATATCGTTTAGTTGTTAAGAAAATAAATACTTTTCGGTGGTCTAGTCGCGCGCGCGAAAATGAGTAAAGTTCAACTTTAGCGGCCTATAACTTTTGTCAGGACCACGGGAAAATGTCGTAAAGCGAGATTCTGAAGGTTCAAACATTTCTGAACAAAATGGGGTGGGTCCCAATTCTTTCTACTCCGAAAAAATTTTTTGAACGATTTCGCGGGTCTCCGCTGCACTATAAAATTTGCTTAAAATATCTACATAGAAATTTCAGAATTTTTAAAAATATAACCAACTCTAGCTCTATATCTTTTTTAATAAACATTTCACAAAAAAGTAGTGTATATGAAAGCATTGAAGAGGAGTTGGATATTCAATGATGAAAGTTATGTAGAATTTTATGATCTACAATTTCTGATAACAATATTTTTTTCTAAAATAAACCATTAAAAAGATATGATTGATAAACTAAGAATAACCAACCAAATTTTGGGGGTTTTGGGGATGGTACGAGGGAAGCACAAGGGGTGGGAGGTCGAAAACTTAGATTCTTAACCACCAGATGGCTGTCTATGACATGCAAAAGAAACCGGAACTACTTCTCATTTTGCAAGTTAAAACTCTATTCCCTGGACTAATACTTACAGTTGGCCGAAAAAGAATATAAGCAGAGCCATCTTACTTTACTTTCATGTCAAAACGACGGGCGTTTCCATCTTTGATCTATGCGTTTTGGATAAGAGAGTCACCTCAATATCTGTTATTTGACGAAATACAAAAACCCAGCTGGCTCTTTTCCTTTATTTATTATCACGGCAAAAACTCCCCAGTACAGAGGAGAGATTCGACTGCTCTCAGTTAACCTGTTAACTTCTAACAGATAGTACATTCTTTCCTAAATACTCCATGTTGTTGTCTAACGACTGTTAGCGCTTTTTTTTAACTTTTGTTTGTGTTTATTACTAATGATTCATTTATTGTCTACATATTGCTGTGTTTATTTCGTCTGGCAGGATGAAATTTTCGGATCTTAATTAAGGCGGACAAGGGCGGTCTCCTTATGTAATTAACTTTTGTAATTAAATTTTATTAATTTGGTCTATGTAACGGTATGGGGATTACTTGTATCATACGAGAAAACGGTCAAGGTTGTTTTTGTTTACATTTTTATATTATTTAACGTAGAAATTTCTGGGAATTTTTTTGGTCTTGCTTAATTTAATTGACAGGTGGATGTAATTTATCGCCTTTTCTGTGTAGTTAAGAGATGAAATTTTATTTTTCCTAGAAATTAAATTTGGGTTTATTTCTTAATGTCTGATAAGAAATTGATTTATTGTGTGATCAAAACTCTCTAAACCTTCCCCATATAGTTTTAATTCGTTGAAGTTTTTAAAAATAAAAGCGACTATAGTTTCGGCGTACTGCCATCATCAGGCGATGTGAAATTTAATAGGAAAATGGTAGGTTACAAACGTTGAAGACGAATAAGACGAACATGTTGTTTTTAATTATTAACTGGCCGAAGCCAAGTGAAAAAACCTGAAGGGTGGTTAAACCGGAAAGGTTGTCCTAAGTTTCAAAACGAATTATATCAAGCCTTGTAATTAAGACAACCAACCGGAGGATTGAATTATTATTACATTAAAAGTTGAAAGTTGAATTTAACACATTTCAAAAGAACCGGGGGAAAAAATAAACTTATAAAAATTTTGAAAACTATTGAGATGACTACATATTTAAATTATTTAAGTAAGTTTAAATTCGAGATCATGCAGATGGCATGTCTAGAAATGATTGACAATCCGGTATACCGGATAAAAACTATATGGGGAAGGTTTAGAGAGTTTTGATCACACAATATATTTCAACCCCCATTTCGAGGAACGATGGATCCAACCCCCCAAAAAAAAAAAAGAAATTGATTTATAAAAATTAATCTACCTTAATTTTTCTTGGGCTACTAACGTACGTTGAGGGGATAGTCTTTGTTGTCAACTGTGTATTATTGGTTGTTGTAATTTTGATTTTCGGAAGAAGGGTTATCGCTTTAAATAGGACGTTAAGAGGAAAAGCATCGCTTTTAGCTTTTAGAACTGCGTTTCATAGAAGTTTTAAACCGCTTTTGGCCAAGTTCAGCACTGAACTACGTTCCGTTGAACGCAGAATTACGTTTCGTTGAAGTTTTAAATCAGCTTTTAGCCAGAGTTTACGCCGTACTACGTTTCGTCACTCAACGGTTTCGTTGATTTACGACTAGTTACTCGTTTGAAGCCATAACCAGCATTGATAGTTTTCGTTAGAGTTTGAAGATTGAAGAAGTTTCGTTTGTGCAGCCGGAAGCCTACTTCGCGACTAGTTTTTGTTCTACGTTTTGAAGTCATGACCATCAAAGGTGCTGCAAGGAGAGGTTAGTACTCGGATGGATGATCGCGTGCGGTTGTATCTCTTTTTCAGTGCACTTCACTTTTAAAAAAATGCAATCTGTCTGTCTGTCTATGTGTCTGTTTGCTATTGTCTGAATCACAAAGGGTACGGAACTACACCACTTACAGACTTACAGGAATTGGTGTCATTCCATCAGTTATTTCATTTGTTTATTCTCGTTAAGGTATAACATGTCCATAAGGGCTATTAAAATCGAAAAAACGTCAAAAAAAACGCAAAAATCGTACATTTTTAGAAAAAGTTGGCCAGTTGCGATGAAATTGTACAGGCGTATTTTTTATCAAATTTGTAGATTCGAGTTCGTGAATTGACAAAGCACGCCAACAAATAAGGAAGGCCCTTTTGGCAACTTCGTTAGTTGTAAACCGAATTGAATGAAATTCAAATTGGGATTAGCTATCCATATAAGACGCTATTGAAATTTGGGTCCAATCGAATCAAAATTCACAGTGCCCTTTAGGCATCTCCTAGGACGCGCGAAAGCCTACTTGGGGTTCCGGAAATTAGAATGTCATTCGATTAGTCACATAGAGTGTTACCGAATCACATCGGGTCCGCACGTGTAGGATACTCCGGATGCTACTTGGCGAACCGTATCTGAGACATGCGCACAGGGTGTCATTCAATATGTCTGGACGAGAGCTACCGAACGACATGTAGTGCGCATGTCTACGATGCGCGGTAGTTTACTTGGAGTTCCGGAAATCCGAGACATGCGCACGTGGTGCCATTCGATCTGTATCGACGAGGGCTATAGAATGACATCCAGTGCGCATGTCTAGGAGACCCCGTATGCTACTGGGTGAGCCGTACAATCGTACATCTTAGACAATACGTTCATGGACATCGTTGGGTTAGGCTCGCTAAGAGGTATCGAATAACATCGTTTCCGCACGGGCACGTTTTAGATATGAACCGAAGAACGGTCATCTTCTACGGGTACAAGAAATCCACCTACACCTAATCGGTCGAGCCGAAAGGGATTTTTTGAATCGAATGAAACTTTTTAGTGCACTTTCACTTTCAAATTTAAAAAGTGCACTTTTGCGATCTTTCTGTCTGTTTGAGTCGGAAAGGCTCCGGAACTACACCACTTACAAACTTGGTATTGGCGTCATTCGATCAGAAATTAAAAATTATTCATGTTTGTATTCTCGTTAAGGCATGAAATGTCCATAAGGGCTATTAAAATTGAAAAAACAAATTTGAAAGTGCACTCTTCGTCTCTTACTCACAAGCGGCTTAACGATTTTTTTAACTTTTGCTAAAAAAAAAAGAATTAATTTAGTGTTGCCAAACTTTGACATTTTTTTTCTGTTTTTTTTTGTAATAAAACCATACACAATTTTTATAGGTTGTACACAGAAAAATAAGGTCTTTCGAATAACAAAAAATTTTAGGTTGCCATTTGAAAAAAAAAGTTGGCAGCGCTCCAAAATTTTTTTTCAAAATTCGGCTCGTTATTTTTCGTTTCAGTATGCCTAATAAACTTAACATATCCAGAATTTGAACTAAATCCGTCGAGCGAGCTATTATGTACTTACCTCGAAAACGTACGCACGTATGAAAAGTTGCTGAAAATGATCTAAAACGTCATTTGATGAAATTTTAACATGTCCAAAAAACGCTATACCCAATGAAACCACAACGAAAAAGCTTAAACTGGAGGACTAGTAGTGGTACAGACGAAACGACGGATGGACAATAGCGTTTATTTTCCATTTGGAAATTGCGCTAAAAATCAGTGGCGTACGTAGAAATTTATTCTGGGGGGGATTAAACAAGTTCGTGGCACATACAGTCACCCAGTGCGTACTAGAAGGGGGAGGGGGGGGGGGTAAGAAATAGAAATTGGGTTGCAGGTTGCTGATGCTGGTAGTTTATGCTGGTTATTTATCTATTTATTATTGTACAGGCGAAAAAGATTAGATTAGAACGGTATTTTATTTCTTACTACTGACAGGCCCCTTTATTGCTTTTGCTTTAATTAGTCAACGAAAACTTTGAATAATAGGTATATTTATGGGCACAAAACCAATTTCGACAAAAAATTCAAAGGGCTGTAACTTTTGATCTAGTAGTCCGAATTCCGATCTTGGAAGTTGGAACTGTTTGAAATTATGGATTCTACAGGCCACATTCTATAAGAAAATATTTTTTTCCGGTCGATCTGAGACAATTTTTTTTTCGGGGCAAAAAAAGGCAGTGTATAACCTTCCTTTTTTACCAAAAATCGACTGCACCAAAATTTCTCGGGAAAAAACTTTTTCTTATTAATTTGTGTGCGTAGAATCCAAAACGATTCGTACTTTTTCGATTAGACGCCTCAATCAAAAGGTATGGGCAAAAAAATTCCTGTTTTTAAAATTTAAAATTCTTATTTTCGTCATTTTGTGAAAGGCAGGACCCAGGTACCTCACCTCAGTAGCAGTACTAAGTACCTGATACCTATTTGTTATTTTGGGCATCAATGTAGCGAATTGCCGATCGATGCCGAATAGCCAAATCGTTGACTGCCAACGCTGATCACTCACTGAATAGTGAATACTGAATACTACAGAATATTTAGATTTTAGTGACTTTAGACTTTAACCAAAACCAAAATTGCTCTCTATATATACCTATATATTATTGCCTTTATTTTAAAGTGGGCGGAGCGGATAGCGGAGTATTACCTAAATACCTAATAGCTATGATGATAACTCAATTCTTCTGGGGGGGGGGATATATCCCCTTCATCCCCCCCCCCCGTAAATACGCCACTGCTAAAAAGTAACGGGTAGTACACGTTACAACTTACACTGGCGTAATTGAATGAAAATTGCCTTCACGGCCTCCTAAAGCTTACGTACTTGGTATAACCTGCTCAAAAATTGCTAAATTTCCTAAAAGAAACCTGTATAGATCTTAATCTATTTACCTAATAAACAATGCGGTGCGGTGGGGTATTCTCACGAGAACGCTATAAAATTAACCCCCTAGATTTTAATTTAAAATTTAAATTTAAATTCCAATAGGTACCTATTATGTATTATACAAACGCTGATTTTTTTATTGTATCTAAAGCATAAATAATTAAACAATTACCAACAAACGGAAGTAGTTAAGCTTTATTTGAGTTGAGGGTGTAATTACTTTTCATTCATTCATGCACTTGTTTTAAGTATGGAGGGGGCGTTCGCAACACTCGCCCACTGTACTCTTTTAAACGTCAGTCAAGTTGTAACTTTATGGGAGTGTGTTTGTCGTTGTAACTTTTGTTTTGCGTTTATACGTTTTTAGTTTCGCGGTATCGTTTAATTGTATGACTGCACTAATAAATTGTTTTACCTAATTTGTCATATTTTTTTGCAACTGTTGACGGAGTGAATACGTTTAAGTATCGTTATGTTCCAATTAAAATAAATTAAAGATGCACACGTTGTATTTGCAAGTACTGATTGTTTTGTACAGTGTTCAAAATTTTGTTTCATTTGCGTCTGAACTTTTGGATGTTGAGGTGGAACAATACTGTATTAGACGATGCTCTTTGCAGGTATGTTAACATTAGCTATAACAAAATTGTGCGTTTAGTATATCCAATATTTGAAGACTATAGTTCCATTTAATATCCTCGCACTTTATGTATTGCCGCCTAGGTGCGCAATTTCCCAGATAATTTTCTGAATATATAAGTACTTATTATAGCATAGCAGAGGTGCGCTATATCACTTTCCCGCGCAGATCGTCTCAAAATATGCGATTTGTATGACTCGCAAAAAATATTGACATGATAACCTCTTTTTAAGTTTATCGATGTTGTTTAGATCGTGTGTACTTATAATTAATGTTTCTTCACGAGGCCACAGCCTTTAGGCAAAAGGCAACCAGTTTTTTTGAACGTTGGGCCTCTGTTCGAACCGATTTACCTAAACGTTAGTTGAATCAAAGTACCATATTATTAGGCATCCCCACGGCAACAGGTGGGAATACCTTTCGGTGCCTGTAAAAAGCTGACCGGGCCAATATAGGTACAATTTTAAACCAAAAATCTTTCGGGAGAGACTTGAGTCCCTAAACCCCCCTTTTGTACTCCCCTCCTGGGAATAGGTTCATGCCAAATCCCGAATACGTCAGAATAGAGCAATTTCACTGAATTTTTTGTCATTTAAAATTGAAATAAAATTGCTGTTAGTAATAAGAGGTACCGAGATAGGTACGTATAATAGAGCAGCAATAAATTGTGGGGTTTTTCAAGTGACGTCATTTTTAGGTACTATCATCACAGATTTAAACACTCCTATCATTATCATTCAATGGTGCTATGCTTCATTTCAGTCACTCGGAGATTGTTTGTCTTGGAAAATTGGAAGTACCTAGGTACTTATGATTTTTTGCAAATGTAACTGTAACTATACACAATGTGTAGGCATATCAAGCTTAAGTCGTTATCTTGTACTTGTGCCTAGCAATGAGGGCCTCAAAAGTGCTTTACCTGGGAAAAAATACAGGAGTTTTGAAACTTGGCAGTCAATTAGGTACATATATTTAACCTCTGTTACGTGTATGATTTGCGACCTCGGCAAGCCGCCGCTAGCGCCACCATATTGAAAAAATGGCGCCTAAAATCAGTTTTTTCATGATATCTATTTTTCGGTACCTTCTAGACCAAAAATGGCTATTACAAAAATTGTAGCTAAGAACATTCTCTCTTTTGTCTGAGGTTTTTTTCTGGGATCAATATTTCCTGAGTTGCGTTGATATAAATAAGGGTGATTTTAGTAATCCACATTTTAATGTTTTAAACAATTATTTTTGTCTTCGTCGCAATACTCTGGATGGACCAGGTTCGCTTAGGTTCATACTGGTTTTGTTCGTGTTTTTTCTACATCTGATTCATCTTGTCCGGAATCTTCGTCTCTCTATATCATCAAACGTCGGCAATAAAATGATATCATCTGGATCTTCGTCATCCGAGTCGTTTAAAATTTCCGCCATATTTTTGCAAGAATTTCCCGTGCAGTACATGCAAATTATGGAACAATTCAAACCCGCCTTTCTGCAGCCGCATGCTGAGACGCATCCTTTTTTACACTTGCATGAAATGAATTTCAGAAGTACTTCTGGAGCAGGCTCTTTAGTTGTTTTAAAAGGAGTAAGTCCGACATTACTCCTTTTCCATCCCCAGAATTGAAAAATAATAAAGCGATACAACGAAATATCGAAGGATCCTCAGTATTACAATCACTTTTGACGACAATTTATTTTAATTTTACAAAATACATTTTCTAGTTAACAAAAATGCATCAAATTCATGCCTTGGGCATTTTTTCCCAACGATCTTGGCGCATAAATAACGATTTGGACATGTTTTGATCAAAATCCACGTGGTCGCCAAAAATGCATCAAATTCATTCGCAAATTCATGTCTTGGGCATTGAGATAATGCCCCTAGTCGTTTTCCCAACGATCTTGGTGCTTAAATAACGATTTTGACATGTTTTGATCAAAATCCATGTGGTCGCCAAAAAATAGATCAAATTCATGTTTTGGTCATTGATATAATGCTCTGGTCTTTTTCTCAACCATCTTGGTGCATAAATAACGATTTTGAAATATTTCGATCAAAATCCATGTGGCCTCAGAAAAATAATTTAACATTTTTGAATCACACACATGCGGTTATCAAACGTGTACGTTATCAACTCTTTCAGCATCAAGATAATGCGTTTGCAAGCTTTTACAACTCTAAATTCATGTGTACAAAATAATTTTGGGTACATTTTGCTCTAAAACTTTTGACCTAGAGTACAGAGAAGAGTTATATTGAATTGTTACAGTTCTAAGAGTCATAGGGAATAATCTAGCGAAAGTCCGAACTCGATACATGACCTAGGGAATGAAATATGTTGATTTCTATTATATTGAGTTCGCAGTTTTTCCTGTTCCCGATTCACTCCAAGTCCTATAACTTTTGTTCCTGTTGAACCAGCTTCCTGAAAATCAATAGCGTCCGTTCTTAATGTCCAACGTACCCGTACACCAAATCTCAACACAATCAGCCACTTTTAAAAAGAGTTAGAGCGCACACGGACGGACGACAATACAAAACTATAAAGGATCTGAGGATCCTTAATAAATGAAGATATAAGCAGACGCAGAATTTTTCAAGCTACAAGAAACCTATTTACAACTTTGCTGTAAATCAATTAGGGGAGAAAATATTTCGATATAAAGAAATTAGCATTGAAATCCTTATGGTGCGTAAACCGATTCTACACCCTGTACACCTCAATAAATGTTTATATTTTTGGTTGCTATTTTTGGCAGCTGTATTTAACTCCAGTCTTTTTCCCTCCTTAATGTCACGCAGCGCGTAAATGACCTCTTACACTGCAACTTTTTCACTAAAGGACATAGGAATTAATTTCTACCAACCATAGCCCTCCTCCTCGACCTCTTATCGGGATCGGGTATATTCCCTTATACCTCAAGAACGGATTGTCGGAAGAGGGTACTCACAAAGGGCGATTGAGACGTCTGCCAGAAATATATCCATTGGTGATGTCAAAACAAAAGCTATTTCGGTTAAAAAAAATGCGCTTTATCTGCACAAGAGTTGTGCACAATTTATACTTGTTTTCAATCGGATCGTTATAATAGCTTACTACAGGGGGCACCCACTTGCTGTATTGACGCGATTGAGAACATCCTTATTGCTAATTTTTAGGATATTACATTAAACATTAAATATTTTAGAATACAATATTTCAACGCCCTAATGTTTACCAATCTTGTATCAGGAAAATATTACGTTCGAGACGGCGTGCTCCTCATACACATGGCATTGATTAGCAAATTTTTGAGAAAATTTCCTGACGTGTTTTTCTCCTTCTTTTCCCCTTTTAGCGCATTCGCAACGAATATGGGTACGCTATTGCAACCCTCGTTGCAACTCGAGTATGCAACCACTTTCTTTATCCGTCCGCCCGAAGCCGTAACTACTCCTACAGTTTTCATTATATTTAGTTCGTTCTTTTTGAAGTCAGTAGCTTATAGCTCTGGCACCCGAGCCCAGAAAAATGAATGTGCGCATGCGCAAACTGCGCAATGCCAACTTCTTATGTATGGAGATATTTCTTTGAAATTTTAACCATAGATTCCTCTAGTAAAGAAAAACATTGCGCACATAGCTATGGCCTTCTGGGAAATACTGATGAATGCATGGAACATGCGCTGAAATACTCGCATTAGAGCAAAAACCTTTTTACTCGTGTATATTTTTCATTAGATAAACCTATTCATTGTTTAAGGTTTGTTTCTGCTTTACTCTGCCTTTCAATTTCAATTTCCATTGTGTTCTCTTTCATTGTTGTACATCATTGTTCTGTAAACTGTTCGGAACGTATTTAATGATTTCCCTTTCTTGTTTCCTTTCCTCCGACTCATAGTGAATTTCTGTAAGTAGGTAGTCGTAATCGGATTTGTTTAGGATGATTTTCATTATTGTGGTTTTGATGGATTTTCTGTTTCTGTTGTTCTTTTAGTTTAAATATCGGTTTAAATGCTCTCTAACTTGTCCCTATATGTATAATCATTATCAACCTACCTACACTAGTGAAACTAAAACTACTGGGTAAAATATATACAATGTGAAACAAAATTTAAAAAACAAAAATTCTGCATTCACGTTCCGTGCCACAGTATGGGCTCTGTTACTCCATTGAATGTGCAGCGTGCTGTATGCAAAAACTTTAAGCAGGCCTTCCACGTGCAGTCATTTCATCGAACTTTGAATTAACGCCATGTCTTCGAACTTGGAACAGAATGTTGAAACACCACTTCCACGTCCGCACATGGTTCGTACAAACTTGGCGAACAAATACAGGTACAATTGTGCACGCGAAAACAACGAACATGCGTTTTCGGTTCCTCATACTACAATGCGTAAATCTATCTCACTTATGTCTTAACTCTAGGAGCGACAACCACATCCACGCGCGCGCCCACCATCGCTCCGCGCCAAGAATTTAGGATTGGCAAAACTCTTCGCTCCGCACCAAGAACGATGCAAACTTTGCGCGGTGACCCCTTCCACGTTGGAACTTGGTCTGTTTGCAGGAGTGTACACTCCAAGTTCGATGAAATGCATGCACGTGGAAGGCCTGCTTAAGACAAGAAACATGACTCGTCTGAAACTAGCAATAAAAGTATTCGCCCAATAGTTATGTGTAAAGTATAAATAAATAAAATAAATAAATAAATAATAAGTAAAGTCGGCATTAACGATACAGTTTATGTTTATGTTTATGTACTCTTATATCTCAATATCGATCCTGTTATATTTGATCTGGGTGCAGACCAATCTCGTTTATATTATGAATGGGCGAAAGCGTATATTATGTGAGGACAATAATCTTATGTTCTATCGATTGGTGTTTCGTGTGACGTACAAAATTGCTAATAAAAAAACGTGTTAGTATTGTTTCGATATATAAACCTAGCCTATCCAATCAGTTAAAAAAATTAATTAACCTCATGTAGATGCGGGTTATG